AAAAATCTAATCCCACTCAAAGTTCAACATACATACAAATTCTACTAAAGTAGTTGCACCATCATGCTCATACCTTGAGTTCAACCAGAAAAGGCAGAGAGTTTTTGTATGTACTTGTAGGTTTGGGGGTTTTTTTTTTTTTAATATTTTATTATTTATTTATTTTTTGGCTGTGTTGGGTCTCTGTTGCAGTCTTTGTGCTGGCTTCTCCCTAGTTGAGGCTTACAGGTGGGCTAAGTTGCTCCATGGCATATGGGATCTTAGTTCTCCGACCAGGGTTTGGACCCACGTTCCTTGCCTTACAAGGCAGATTCTTAACCTCTGGACCACCAGGGAAGTCCCCAGAGAGTTATTCATGAGAGGAAAGAAACTGGGATGGTGAGAGGAAGGGGCGAGAAACGAAAGGCAAGATGGTTTGGGATTTGAGTGACTGGTTGGGGCATTTTGAGACAGAAACTTGAGACTTGGGCAGGTGCTCTGATGTGAGAAAAGTATGGAGGTGCTTTTCAGGCATTTTGCTGGGTAAACTGGGTGGAATTTTCCCTGGTGTCTTATTGAGAGATTTCTTTAAAGAGGTGATCATGCTATCTGCTTATCAATGATCTTTTGGGTGCTAAAATGAGCCCGGAAGAAGTCAGATGACACATTTACCTCTTCCTATCATGATTGATTGCTGTAAGTATTTGAATTCCCTGTTCTTTTCTGTCATCGTTATTAGTAATTTCCCAGCCTACATCTGCATAATGTTGTAATAGAGTATATCAGATATATTTTAAAACCATATGACAGCCTTGTTTTAAATACTGCCTGTCTCTAATCAAGAAAACCAGATACAGGGGCTTCCTTGGTGGCTCAGCAGTAAAGAATTAGCCTGTAGATGCAGGAGACACAGGTTCGATCCCTGATCCGGGAAGATCCCATATGCTATGGGCTCTAGAACTGCAGCTATTGAAGCTGGAGAGGCCTACAGCCCATGCTCTGACGAGAGAAGCCATGGCGATGAGAAGCCTGCGTGTGGCAATGGAAAGTAGCCCCTGCTTGCTGTGACTAGAGGAAAGTCTGCGCAGCAACGAAGACCGGGCACAGCCAAAAATAAATTAATAAAAGTAATTTTAAAAAAGAAAGCCAGATACAAACTTACACGTGCCTGGTTTTACTCCAAGTAATTTGTGTCAACTAATTAACAGTGTCTTCCTGGAAACCTGTGTGAATTTCCAGCTGAGAGGTTGCTTTAAAATGGCAGGGGTTGCTTGGATTGTTCAAAGAAAGGAAACTTGTACATATCTCATATAAAAGTGTGAAAAAGTAAATTTGCTCAGCCAACGAAAAAGGCTAAAGGGAGCTAGAAATGAATGGGGGAAAATTTTTTTTTAAAGGACCAAATCCACATCTATGGTAAATGTTATAAATGCCCAGACTGCTGCTTTTTTTTTAATTTAATCTAAATTCATTTTCTGGAGGCTCATGACCATTTATGTTAGAGTTTAAAATTTATTTTTGCTCTTATCTTTTATGCAGGTCACATATTTTAATCTCCAAGCATTTGCAACATGCTGAAGAGAGATTAAAGAAAAATGTTTAAGTGTCATAATTTTAAAGTGAATAGAATTATGTTATGATACTGAAACTACCAAAGAGTTATAATGAGATTCAATGTGTAGGGGCAATTTTAATGATTTCACACTAATCATTGATGGGATTCAGACATCAAATAATGTAAAATACGTTGTTGTTTAGGAGAGAGGATGAAAGGCTCAGGGATATGTGGGTGGGAGCTGTTTTCCATACCCAGCAAATGCAAACCCACTAGAGACAATGCAAACCACTAGAGACAATGCAAACCCAACGTTTATTGTGAAAATCAAGGGGTAACTCACGTTTTAATTCAAGATGAAGATTCAAGTTGCTAATTTTATTAACCAAGGAGGTACCTATCATCACTGTCTGATCTCGAAAGTGGTCAGAAAATCACACAAGCATCACCTGAAGAATTTAAATGATTAACATACAGATTCCCAGGCACCTGAAGAATTTAAATGATTAACATACAGATTCCCAGGCTCCATTCCCTAAGAATTCTAATCCAGTGCTTTTCAGGTGGCTTCAGGTAATCGGTATTAAAAATAGGTATTTGCACCCCACACCTGTTAGAGGCAGTGAGACTGGGGTTCTGAGGCCTCACTTTAGGAGACATTTAATTTTTTCATAAAGGTTCCACAATGGGGCTGACATCCAGATTATTCACATAAAAATGGATCATTTCATGTTTATAGCCATTCTAACAATTCACCTTTGACATATATGATCAGAGGATGACAGAGTGGAAAGAAAAGCTGGTGTGAAGGAGAGAAACGGTGACAGGACCCCAAAAACTGTATTCTTGACTTTAAAAACCTTCAGGGTTTCTGGCATGCAGCTGATCGCTTGATTTTCCAAAATAGATATATTTTTTTTCTATCTCTCTTTCTAGTGCTGAAGCCCATGGAAGCCCTCTCTCCACAAATCTTGCTCCTAAAAAAAAAATCTCTCCACAAAACTCTGCCCTTGATCGACCTGATTCATTTTCCTATTCTACCCTGAGAACCTGATGTGTTCTTGCTTCAAAGCACTAACTTTCCTGTCTCCTCTTTAACATGTCATTTGACTTCAAGTAAGGGCTGGCTGCCACACCTCACGCTTCTCCTCCCTGGAGTTGTCATTTTCACAAAACTCACCAGCACTGCCTTCTTACAAAATTATTCAGAACAATGTCCTCTTGACATCAAAGGATGTTCTGAATTTCCCTGTGAGATTTAAATTCACCGAGGATGGATTTAACAATCCCTTTTGGCTTACTGCACTGAAAGAAGGAAACAATACGTGGTGAAATGGCATTGAGCTTCTAGAATCAATTGTCTGCTTGTGATTTAAATACATTTCTTAGTTTTAAAGGGCCGAGGGACCTGGAACCCCTTATGAAATGGCAGACGTGGAATCCCCTTGTCAATCTGACCCAGCACAAGGTCCTTAGCATCTTTTCCTCGAGAGTGAGCTGAATAATCTCTTCTTTATTGTGAAAATAACTGACTGAGGCTGCGGGGTTTCCACCACACCCTTGGAGCTGCTAGAGACTAACTCAGCTGAGCAAGGGTGTCTCAGAGGCCAGGACCCAGCCAAGTCTTAAATTTCAAAGTTCCTGGTAGCATATCCTGACTCGTATCACCTTCTCATCTCAGAAAATCACATACACAGGTGTTTTGTGGAGCATCTCTGAACTGTAAGAAGATGTTGGTCACAATTAAAAGAGTTTAAAATATTGCCAAGATCACCACAGAGAAAAACTTTATCTTTTTTATCTTTATCCCTTATGGAAATAAGTTTTTACTTCAGCAAATTATCGTCTTAGCTTGTTTACAAAACAATGGGACACACCGGCCACTAAAAAGCAAAGACTTGAGAGAAGAGAGAGCACCAGCAACGTATTTTAAGAGAAGACAGGTTTTCTGTTTCAGAATACAGCAATTCATCTAGAAATCGGACATAAATGGGAAAATTTCCATGGTCAGTGATCCATTTAAAAACTCTATAATTGGACTCCATAACTCTCATGTCTCCCAGTATTGATTTTATTTTGACAAAAAGAAATGAAAGTTTTAAAGTGAGATGCATGTGTATTTTGCCACATAATCTATGTCCTTTCGGCCAGGCTTCTTGAGTTTCAGCCCTGGTTCCACTATAACAGCTGTAGGATTCTGGACAAGTTGATTTTTCTATAGGTCACTTTACTTCCTCTATAAGGCAGTGACTATATAGATGTGTTGTGAGGAATACATGAGCTAGTTAGTAGAAATACCTGATACTTAATAAGGGTTCAATAGTTAAACAGGAGAAGGCAGTGGCACCCCACTCCAGTGCTCTTGCCTGGAAAATCCCATGGACGGAGGAGGCTGGTGGGCTGCAGTCCATGGGGTCGCGAAGAGTCAGACATGACTGAGCGACTTCACTTTCACTTTTCACTTTCATGCATTGGAGAAGGAGATGGCAACCCACTCCAGTGTTCTTGCCTGGAGACTCCCAGGGACGGGGTCGCACAGAGTCGGACACGACTGAAGTGGCTTAGCAGCAGCAGCAGTAGTTAAACAGGAAGTGAAAATGGCTTCCCTGGTGCCTCGGACGGTGAAGAATCTGTCTGCAATGCAGGAGACTTAGGTTTGATCCCCGGGTTGGGGAGATCCTCTGGAGAAGGGAGTGGCCACCCACTCCAGTATTCTTGCCTGGCATGGACAGAAGGGTTTGGAGAACTACAGTTCATGGGGTCGCAAAGGATCAGACATGACTGAGAGACTAGCATACAGTTAAACAGAATTATTATACGCTAATGTGGGAATATGGCGGAGAGGAAGACAGATGCTCTGCCCTTAAGGAGTTTACAAACAGAGGAGACATGTGGTAAGCAGTCCCTCAGTTAGTATTGCCTTAAATTTTTCCTTCGCTCTGTGGAAATAGAATACCCTACAGAGTGCCTGCACATGGTCAGTAAGGGAATCCTAGGTACCCGGGGCAGATGTCCCGAGGGAAGACAGTTTTGTGTGTGTGTTTTTTATGGCTGCACTGGGTGTTTTCTTGCTGCATGGACTTTTTTTAGTTGCGGCAAGCAGGAGCTACTCTCCAGTTATGATGAGTGGGCTTCTTATTGCAGTGGCTTATCTTGTTGTGGAGCACAGTCTCCAGGGCTTGTGGGCTCAATAGTTGTGGCAGGAAGCCCAGCGGCATGTGGGATCTTTCCGGATCAGGGATCAAACCCGTGTCCCCTGCACTGGCAGGTGGATTTGTTACCGCTGAACCACCAGGGAAGCCCCAGTGAAGAGACTTTATGCTTAAGCTTGATGAACGGGTGGGAGGAGCTCCCCTAAGAAGGATGTGCCCATGAGGAAGAATTTGGGATACGTAGAGAAAACATTAATGGTGTGACCACAGAAGAGGGGTGTGGACATATGGAAGGCCCACCCTCCACCTGCAGGATGAGTCTGGTCATTAAGGAAAGAAGCTTTGGTTTGTGTCCTGGGATCGGAATAAGAGCAAAACTTCTGGAGCAGAATAAGTTCAAATTTGAGCCAAGAGGAGAGGTGTAAGTTCGGAAGAGTCAACAAGGCTCTGGGGAGGATATTAATCTTCACTGGGAAAATAGGGGTTACTTTTGTTTTGCTGGTTTTTATCTTCTCTGCTTTGTAAATTCATAAAGTTACAAAATGCAATCCAGATGTTTTTCCTCCCCAGCTCTGGATCTGAAGCTGACCCTTCTCTCTACCCACGAGCTGAGAAGACAATGACATTCACTCACCACAGACCCTGGAAATCTTTAAAAATAGACCCCAGGAAGGATGTGGGGCTTGCTGGTTTCTGCGGGAGAGCAGCGTACCCAGGAAAATCAGGAGGCAGAGACTTCAGGAAGAGGAAAGGGTAAGAGCAGAGACACAGACCAAGAGAAACAGGAGCAGTGTTGGAATATGTACCCAGAGCAACACCCTGAAGGTCTGGGAGGGAGGGCATGACCTAGCTCTTTGATTGGGCATCGGTGGTGAGGTGCCTGAGTTAGGAGGGTAAGGATTCACAACACACTTCCTTCCCTAGCATCAACTATATCTGGATTTATTGCTAAAGTCCTTGAAGAATGACTTTGGCTTTTCCAGGGATCCTGTGTATATGTGCCTCTGGAATAGAAGTCAAGATTTTATCCAGAAGAGAAAAGGAAACAGAGCAAGAATAAGACACACTTTTGTCATGGGCTATATTATGCTCCAAGGGTCCACCTTGGAGTAGTATCTGGCTGGAAGAACCATGAGTTTGCCCCTCAACTGTATCCTCTTCCCAAAGGATAGCTGGAGACATTGTCTCCCCTCCTTTCCCCACCCCATGGTAAGACAAAGGAAAATACCTCATCACACATTCTATGCCTTTAAAAGGAGCTCTGGCTGCCGTTCAATGGGTCACATGAAAAATGATAGTGGTTTGGAATGAGGCTGGAGGCAACAGAGACAGAGAGAAGTGGATGGACTTGTGTTATGTTTAGACATCAAATAAACAGGACTTTGTGTCTTCTTGGATGTGCAGGATGAGAGAGGAAGCTGTGCTGTATCGCTGATAGCATCCACTTGGCAGTACAGCTTTGCTGGGAGTAACTGCAAGGATTAATCAGGGGTGTCATTTACTGAAACGAGAAGCACTGGAGCAGGAACAGCTTCTGGGAAGATGAGAGGATCCACTTTGAAAACAGGGGCAGAGAACGCTGGTGATCCAGTCCACAGGGTATAAATGAGGCAGTTGAATAGAAAGATATGGCCCTTCCCAGAATGAGAGGCTGAGGTAGAAAAGTGATGTAGATGACGACAAGTGTGCTAGGTGGTTCTTTCAAGAAGATGTGGGACTAAAGAGGAAGAGTGGACACTAAACCCTTAGTGAGGGAGAAAGAGTGACCTGAAGGTTGGAAAGTGAGAGAGTGTTAGAGCAAGACCACTTGCCTGGCTGTAGAGTTTGGGTAGGGGGATATCCCCACCCTACTTCCTGGACCTGAGATTCACAAACATCAGTTTGAGGCAGCCATATTGTAAGCTGTGTCCTCCAAGGACCTCAGGGCTTCACTTACAGGCCAGGAGCTGACGGACGCCCTGAGGAAGAGGTTGGGGTTAGAAGAGAGTTGGCTAACTAACGTGTTTGCTCAGATGAGAGGGTTTGGCAGGGGAGAAGGGAGTGAAGGGTCAGGAGGTGATGGGAGATAGGGGAGGCATAGCGGGTACTTGGGACTAACAAGGCTCAGTGTGGCCAGGAAATGAAGTCCATGGTCAAATCTCACGGTCAACTGGCATGAGCTACTCCACTGGGCACAGTGGCAGCCGAAGGAGGTCACCTGGTCTTTTCAAACCATAAACTGATTATATCACATATGCTTCTTTCCCCAGATTCATATGAAGGCAAAATGTGTTAATGTGCTTTACAGGGTTCTACATGGTCATTCCTCTGCCTATCACTCCAGCCCAACCTCTCTGGTCATCCTTCATCCCTCAAACCCACCAAATTCTGTAATCTGTCACAGGAACTTTGCACGTACTGCTTTTTCTGGCTGAAATACCACTCTTTTTTTTATCATCTAGTTTAACTCCTATTCAGATTTTCTGAAAGCTCAGCTAAAATTTATTTTATTCCAAGCAGACTTCCCTGACTTCCCTAACTGGGTCAACCCCCTTTCTGTAGATAAGCATTGAGTCTCTTTCTATCACTTATCACAGTTACTATTTTATACTGTTCATGGGATTGCTTGGTTAATATCTCCTTCCTCTATGAAACTATTATATTCCACGAAGCAATCACTTTAGTTCTTAATGCAAATTATATCTCCCACAGCATAGCCCTCGTGTTTAGCATTTAGTTCTGATTTCAGTAAATACTTGCCTAATGGAGGAAAAACACGGGCTTCACTGGTTGGCATTGGTGGAGGGGGGTTGCAGCTGGCCGAGGCCCTTTAATTTATTTACTTTTTCCTTTTAAAAAAAATCTGAGGCTATTTTAGCAGCTGATTTTTGTGGTTTGGCTGTGGTTCAGTAACTTCCCTGAAAGACCAGGGCCCTGGACTGTTGCCCTGTGAAGAGGCAACCCCATCTTCTCGGATAAGAGCACATTGTCTACTCACAAGGGGCCTTCAGAGTGCCAGCTCTTGGGGGAGAGCCCAGGAGATGCAACAGCTGCGACTCGGTGCTCCCAGGATGCCAAAGGTCAAAAGGTCAAAGGTCTCTTTTGGTGGAAAGAGACTCCAATCAGTGAAGTCTAGCCAAAGAACTGTCTCCTGCCCAACCCCTAACCCCAACTTCCTGCCCTAGGCTGTGGGCACAGCTGTTTCCGAGGTTTTACTGTGGTGTGATTTGTGGTGTAAATGGATGTGAGCTTTGAGCTCTCTTGTCTCCGAGGGTGACTTAGGAGAGAAACTCTTCTAAGCTTAGTGATCAGTTAATTTTGTTCTTCTTTCAGTACATGCTGTTCAGTCACCAAAGGACTCATTGTCCTGGAGAAACAGAATCCAAAATTAGTGTGTTCCTCTCCCTAAGATCCCCCTGAGCAGGCTTCTGTATTGAGTCACACACACAGATATGACACCAACACCTACCACTCACTTACAGGACTGCTATGCAGGACCCCATCCTTCATGGGGTCACCTTCAGCTCTTCAGCCGAACTAACTGGATGGTCCAGGACAATCATGAAGAATGAATTCAATCACAGGAAAATAAATGGGTGACTGCTGTCTGAATCACTACCAGCAGGCTTCCAAACAAGAGGTATCATAGCAAGCCAAAGTGGCACATGATACAGAGAGATGTAACCTCCATGGCATTCCAGAGAAATGCCATTTTCTCTGCAGGCTCCGAAATCCTGCAGGAACAGACCTTCTGGCTTCCAGAAAGTCACACCATGGAGTCACAGATTCTGACACAAACACCAGTTTTCTAGTTGGCACACTGAGGATCAATCTGTCAAAAGGCAACGGGTCAGAAGAATTCATTATGAAAAATAAAGCAGATGAAGTGAGACACACATTGAGCTGCCTTGTTGCGGAACTCTCCATTGGCACAGAAAGTGGCAGTTTCATTCATTCATCCAATTCCTGTTCAACACTAATTCACTGAGTGCCTAAAACTGTGTGGAGTACTATGCCAGGCACTGGGGCTACAAGATAAATTACATTTGCTGATCCCAAACATTTCAGATTTGTTAACATTATTGATGGGTTTGAAAATAAAATGAAGAACTTTTGTAATTTATTCTGAGAATAGCCAAGATTAATGAAAGAAGAGAGTAACGAAAGAAAAAACCATGAAAGGGAAACCTGGATGGCTGTTTGACACTTCAGACTTCAGTTTTCTCATCTGTAAAATATGGGGATCAATTGCATGTTCCATAAAGTCAATACTGTTTTATCAATGTAAAATAAAACCAAAAATATCCAAGAGATCCGATTTATCACTGTTCCAGATTTTACTGTCTTGTGATACTTACCTCAAAACATAGTGACTTAGAACAACCACCACTTTATTATTATTATCTCACAGGTTTGTCAATCAGGAATTCAAACGAGGCTTTCCAGGGCACATTTTCTCCACATGGTGTTGACTGAGGTTGCTCAGTTGTATTCAGCTGGCAGTTGGGTTGGTCTGGAAGCACCAAGATAGAGATCCCAGGTCTGATGTCTTGGTTGAAAGGCCTAGGAGGCTGGACTTGGCTGGAACAATCATTAAAGAGCCCAGCAGTGACCTTTCCAGCATTTTGATCTCCTATAGTTGGACCTCCGACATGCCATCTCCATACTCCCAGAGTGTTCCAGGAGACTTGGGCAGGAGATACCAGACTTCTTTAGAACTAGCCTCAAAACTCCCAGGATACCACTTCCGTTCAATGTATGAAAGCCCAGATTCAATGCAGAGAGGATATATAGTCTCAGTCTCTTGGGGAAATTGCATGAACCACAGGGAGGAAAGTCATCAGTGGCAGCCATCTTGGAGGCCAGCTACCTTCATCACCATGAGACCCAGAAATTTAAAAATGTCAAATATCTCTGGAGTCTTTTTTTTTTTCTTTTTAAATTTTCTTTCTTTGTTTATTTTTGACTCTGCTGCGTCTTCACTGCTACATGGGCTTTTCTCTAGTTGTGGCAAGCAGGGGCTACTTTCTTGTTGTGCTGCACAGACTTCTCATTGAGGCAGCTTCTGTTTTTGCAGAACACAGGCTCTAAGGTGTACAGGCTCAGTGCTGGCACATGAGCTCGGTAGTTGCAGATCCCGGGTTCTATAGCACAGGCTCAGTAGTTGTGGCACACACACTTAGTTGCTCCACAGCATGTAGGATCTTCCCAGGTCAGGCGTTGAACCCATATCTTCCCCCATTGGCAGCCGAATTCCTTACCACTGAGTCACCAGGGAGACCCTCTCCTCGATCTTTAATTTCTCCTCCTCTTCTTATAAGCTGACTCATGGAGAAGTTAGGTAAAATACCTTCATATTATGAGTGATTCTTGAGCATGGATGAAATAATATTTGAAAGGGCCTAGATAGGCTTCAGGAGAAGGCAACGGCAACCCACTCCAGTACTCTTGCCTGGAAAATCCCATGGATGGAGGAACCTGGTAGGCTGCATTTCATGGGATCACAAAGAGTCGGACACGACTGAGCGACTTCACTTTCACTTTTCACTTTCATGCATTGGAGAAGGAAATGGCAACCCACTCCAGTGTTCTTGCCTGGAGAATCCCAGGGACTGCAGAGCCTGGTGGGCTGCCATCTATGGGGCGGCACAGAGTCAGATATGACTGATGTGACGCAGCAGCAGCAGCAGCAGCAGATAGGCTTCAACTGGACTGAGAAAGATCTGGAAAATTTTTTTTAAAGTATGGAAGGCATGGAAGGTTTCAGTTTCTTAGCTGCTGCATGAATCAGCTTGTGATTCCTCCATTTTGAAATGTCTGGTAAAAGGGATTTCTCTCCCATCTAGTTGCCCATGGCACTGTCTTTGTACCTATGGCAAATTCATCACATGCCTGGGGATGTGTGTCTTTGCTCTGTCATTAAACTCTAAATAACCTGAAGGTTTGATTCCTGTTTCCCCCACAAAGCATGAAGACATTCTCTATCACTGTTTGATGCATGAACACGAACACTCTGATGTGATTTTAGGGGAAGCTGGAAGTGGTGTAGGGTGATGCCCACTCCTGGTATTAGATGAAGGTAATTCCATTATCTCTAACAGGTGATGTTCAACAGTTCACTGATGCTCTCTAACAGGCAATAAAAGTGAAAACATCCATTAAGGCTTTGGTTTCCAACTCACGTCTTGGTAAATTAACTCACACTTTGTGGAAGGAGGTGGGAAGAATTTGTGTTGTTTGTTTTGTTAAGGAACTAGCCTTGATCACTTTGCACACAAACCACTCTTGGCCTTGAGTTTGGCTTTGCAAGATAGTGTGGGCAGAGTGTGGGAATTCCACACAACACCAACAGGAGGAGGGTGACTGGTGGCCGAGGAAGATTAATGGTTACTCTTATGACAATTTAATTAGTATGAAAATGGAGGAACACTGGGGGAAAAACAGAGGCTTCCTTATTTACATCTTAGTGGAGAATCAATTTCAAGATCATAAAAAAGAGAGACATAAATTGCAGACCCAGGGAAGATAAGGCCTTCTTGTTTTTCCATAAAATGTGGATACCGCTTAAGCAAGAGCCTACTTGTATTATGTTTTCTGACTCTAACTATCATCTTTCATTTCTTTTCTATGATAAAAAAAGTGTTTTAAAGATAATGCCATCAGAATCTACAAGGAGCCACAAAACATTCTTATGACCATGTAATAACTAAATTATATATGTATATAAATAAACTAACCAATGCCTCTTTTTTTGTTTCTTACTTTCTACTCCCTCCTTCAGTTGAAATCCTCATTTGCTCAGTCTCTCATTTGTTGTGTCCTTAGGCTAGTTACCCAATGTCACTTTTCCTTTACTTCCTCAATGTTAAAATGTTAGTTTCAGATCAGTTCAGTTCAGTTGCTCACTAATGTCCGACTCTTTGCCACCCCATGAATCACAGCACACCAGGCCTCCCTGTCCATCACCAACTCCCGGAATTTACTCAAACTCATGTCCATCAAGTCGGTGATGCCATCCAGCCATCTCATCCTCTGTCATCCCCTTCTCCTCCTGCCCCCTGTCCCTACAGTGCATATCCAGATGACAGTTTTGAAGGTGAAAGGAGCCAGCATAGGTTTAGAACAATGTGTGACATGCAGTAGGTACTCAGTATGTAGACTCTGAAGTTAACAAGCATTTTGTCTACATTTTCTTACTGAATTCTCAAAACAAGCTAACCAGCATTAGGGAAATGAAACCACCTTAGGAATGAAGGGCCTACATTCTGAAGTCAGACTCCGCGGAGTCGACTGAATCCTGGTTCTCCCTTCTATAGGTTACACAAGCTTGTTAAGTTGCTAAACCTATCTGGGCCTCAGTAGCTGCAAAGGGGATAACAAGAATACCTATTTCGTCAGTGAAATGATGCAACATAACACACAAGGCACTTAGGAATGCCTGCATACCGTAGGCGCCACTATTACATTTGCTATTGCTACATGGTGATGATAGATTTTACTGGCTGAGCACCGTGTGAGACCCTGCACACGGGGTCTCTAAGGGCAGCAGTCACCGTGGTGTCCATCAGGCCCTCATGGAAGGCTAGTTTCATAGGTCAGATAGGCGTCACTGCCCAGAGGCTCCCCTCACTTGGTTAATTCTCTGCTGTCACAATTATGCAATGCTTAGTACATTATTGAACAAGGGGCCCTGCATTTTATTCTGCCCTGGACCCTACAAGTTAGGTAGCTTTTTGGTCTTAATTTGGGAGCTCAGGCCCTTTGGCCACTGTCATGGGTGCTCATGGGGGTGGTTTGCATTTACATTGAAAGTGAAAGGTGCTCAGTCCTGTCTGACTCTTTGTGACCCCATGGACAGCAGCCCTCCAGGCTCCTTTGTTCGTGGGGATTCTCCAGGCCAGAATACTAGAATGGGTAGCCGTTTCCTTCTCCAGTGGCTTTTCCCAACCCAGGGATTGAACCCAGGTCTGCCGCATTACAGGCGGATTCTTTACTGTCTGAGCCGCCAGCAAAGCTGGTCTCACATTGGGACATCCTTAAAGTCTGAGCTTTTGTAACAGACGTTATAAGCACATTTCCGTGCATGAAGCTTTATCTGTATGATCAGAAGAAAGGAATTGGGGGTCAGCTGGATATTATTACAGGTCTGTGCTTCTCCTAAATTCCAGAGGTGTAAGATAGAGTTGGAATTATCTCAAGGGATGGCAAATGTGTACTTATTTCTCATATTGTACTGAAGTCATGATGTGTTTCAGACATGCATTTTCTATTAGGTAGTGGTATTATGTAGAAGTCAGAACATTAATAAAAAAGAAATACATAAAAGGTGTTATTGAATGTTTAATAGCTTCTTGTCATTACATAGTTTCTCAATGAATGTCTATTAAATATACTAAGGTATTACTAGGCAGGAGATTGAGAATTTTTATGGTAATAGAGGTCTGCATACTTGAAACAGTTGGGAAACTCCATTTTAGGCTGTAAATTCCTGACCTTTGAGGTCCATTTCAATTCATATTTGAGCCTCCTTTGTTCCTGGTTCAGATGCTTGCCCACAGCAAGTGTACAATAGACACATGTCCTGTGAATGGCATTGGTTT